GTGGGGGGGGTCCTCAGTGAGATTATAATTGGACTTTTCAAGGATTTTAAGTGTTTCTCACTCTTAATCCGGTGTGTGTGTGTGTGGGGGGGGTCCTCAGTGAGATTATAATTGGACTTTTCAAGGATTTTAAGTGTTTCTCACTCTTAATCCGGTGTGTGTGTGTGTGTGAGGGGGGGTCCTCAGTGAGATTATAATTGGACTTTTCAAGGATTTTAAGTGTTTCTCACTCTTAATCCGGTGTGGGGGGGATCCTCTAGCATGTTTTCGTGTTGAGGATTTATCTTCCACTTCCTTGTACGGTATTTAAAAATAAAATATGTGTGTTTTGAAAATGTTGATCTTACAATGAACTCTCGACACTAAAACTTGCAGGAAGTTTAGATAAGTGACTGCTTAGTTTCCGTAGGCGTGAAATAGCAGTTGTTTGTTAAATCACAATTAGGACTAATATGCTTGCCATTGTTTGTAAGGAAAGGCCATCGACACAACCTGCATTGTCATGGTCATGGACCCGAGGACTAAATGCGATCCCCTTTTCTTCATTTAATCGTAATTTAATCAGAAACTGTGGTTGAAATAAGACAAACCTTAGGATATCCTGTCAGTCAGTGTGAAGCTCTGTGGTAAGCCAATGCGTGGATGGGTAAGATTTTGTCGTCAGAGCTCGTGGTCCAACCCGCCCAAACAGCGGGCGTGAAGTGTGCGTTTAGCACCTATGATATGCAAGCCTTCATTCAAGTAAGAGACACGTCTGTGCCCGGACGTTGGAGGAGCTGTAGCACCTTCACGGCGACAGTAAGATGTCATTCTACTGAGTGCTCACAAAATGGTACTGGCTACGAGCGACTATTTTATGGTTTTAGCAACAGTAACGAAAGTTATGTGAGATGTATTAGTTCTATACTGCAGTGATCCCCTGTCAGTTGGACTTATAATACGACTTTCAGTCACGCCCGCCTGGATCTGGCGGTGGTGATGTAGCTCACAAGTTTAATATACAAACGTACACGACGTTTCTAACGTCTTCAGACATAAAGACTGACTTGGTCGACCTCCTACATTTGAAAGCTTTTTATGTGACTCGTATACTAAAATGCAGAGTGTCGATAGCTCCACAAGAATAGACGATACAAGGTTTCTCGGATGGTTTATCAGCAGTAACGGTTGTGAAAACCTGGAAGCTACAGAGTGTCGATAGCTCCACAAGAATAGACGATACAAGGTTTCTCGGATGGTTTATCAGCAGTAACGGTTGTGAAAACCTGGAAGCTACAGCTGTATCTCCTCTGGTAAACACCCACTTATCTATGTTATTCTGAAAACTTATGCGAAACATTAATTCACGAAAGTTACACCGTGTGTGAATTGAAATGAACTGACTTTATCCGAAACGGATTTTGTTGAGCTCCAACTACATGACAAGTTACAGCCGTTCTTGAAAACAGGAAAGGTACGACGATTTCACGAAGAGGTAAACACGCTTTCTTTATATATATATATATATATATATATTATGTTATAGCATGTGTAGATTTGGTTTCGGTTCTGTTAAAACACACGCACCTCGTCACTCTTCCACACGTCGAACGGTAGCTTGTTTTCTAACAGATGTGGTTCATACTGTAATAAATAGGTACATATTAGTTAACCAAACCAAACATTCTAGTAAGATAAATAAATATAGACAAACTAGGGGGTTTGTCTAAGCTCACCGAATATTCAGGATAGTGTAGAATACCAATGTCTTGAACTCTCTAAGATAGTGTTCCTATCAATTCGAAACCTAGTTACATACTGTTTATTTAATATTCCTACTCTTACATCTATATATACTTTTTCAAATGCTGTTAAATGATACATGAAATAAAGCAACAGTTCTTGTAAGATGCTGAAAACTTCAGCCAGCGCTGATTGATGGATAGATAGAAATATGTTGAAAGAGAGAGAGAGAGAAAAGTCAAAACAAATTCTACATTCTTTCATGTTTAGAGATATACAAAATCAATAAATTTCTTGTGATTCTGAAGAAGGAAAACGCGTGTGTATATTATTATGTTAGAGAACGTTTTATCTGAACTATTCAATCAGCTCACAGAAACGGAAAGATTGTGTTGAAACTTATTATTACAAAAGTTACGCAAACTCGCATGTACGTGTATATATTTGACGACGTAAAACCAGTGGAATATGTGACGTTAGGATATCTTCTGGTGAAATTACCGAGCTCACTAAGGATGCCTTAGATGGTTTTAATATGCAATGAAACAAGAAGTTTTCTATGGAGGAAAACGTGTTCGATGAAAGGCGAAACACGACGCTTAATGAAGAGACTATAGACTAACTATTGTCCTGTGACGTAAGACAGTTGATTCACCCGATTTTCTACCAATACCTTATAGTGTTTGATCGTATAAACTCCCTTTTTTTCCCTCCGTTATAAAGTCGTGCTGTTACACAAATAGACTTTTTTTTTATTTTGACCTGAACGGCACCTTACGTGACACGTGAGCTAAACGGCTAGGTCAAATATCTCAAGGTTCAGGCATAGCTGTTCCTAACATAGAATTGCTGACCCTTCCTCTGGGTCAGCATCACCCGCCGCCTACACAACTACTCTTCAGCAAATTGTGGAACTGACTGTCACTTTTATAACGCTATCGCCGCTGAACGTGCGAAGTTTCTTTCAGCAGCATCTCATGGATTAGAGTCACGAACCTTTGATCCACTAACTAATGGGCGACGAACGTATAGTTCTGAATTATTCAGTTATTAAACATTAATATGTATGGTTCTGGAGTTATTAAACATTAACATGTGTAATAATGGCTGGAGACGGCTTGAATGGGTAATGAAGAAAAACTTTAACCTAAGTTTAACATAACAGCAAGT